ATGTGATTCTGCAACTTGTATTTGGGGTAAAAAATGGGAGTTCATAACCCACTTGAATCAAATGTATGGAAGATGATATGTCATGAGCTTTGTAATGTTTTGAACAACCAATAAAAAAAAGAAAGAAATTGAAGAAGATCTTAGAAGATAGAAAGATCTCACATGCTCTTAAATAGGCAGAATTAATATTGTCAAAATGGCCATACTACCAAAACTGTTAGACAGATTTAATGCAAATTCATATGCAAACCCAATGACATTGTTCATAGAACTAAAAAAAATCAGTTACAAAATTCATTTAGAAAAATAAGAGACCCAAAATAGCCAAAGCAATTCTTAGCAAGAGAAGTGAAACAGGATATATCATAATAGCAGATCTCAAACGATACTACAGAGCAATAATAACAAAAATGGCAAGGTGTTGGTATCAAAATAGACATGCAGACCAATGGTACAAAATACAAGACACAGAAACAAATGCACATAAATATGGTTATCTCAGGGTAGACAAAGGCGCCAAAAACATATTAGAGGAAAAATAGCCTATTCAACAAATGGTGCTGGGAAACTGGAAATCCATATTTAACAAAATGAAACTAAAACATTCTCATCCTGCACAAAAATCAACTCAAAGTGGATCAAAGACTTAAGACACTGAGACCCTGAACCTAATACAAGAAAACATAGGCCCAAATCTTTATCATGCTGGCTTAGGACCTGACTTCCTTAACAAGACTCCTAAAGCACAAGAAGTAAAATCAAGAATAAATAAATGGGATGGATTCAAACTAAAAAGCTTCTTCTCAGAAAAAAAAAAATCAATAACATTATGAGAAAGCCTACAGAATGGAAAAAAAAATCTTTACTACATGCATATCAGATACAGCAATAATTTCCAGGATATATAAAGAACTCAAAAAACTTGAAAAAAAAAAAACCTTATCAATAAATGGGCTAGGGAACCGAAAAGTTCACAGAAGAAGAAATATAACCTTTCAAGAAGCATGAAAAAAGTGTTCATTATCTCCAGCAATTAAAGAAATGCAAATCAAAACTACTCTAAGATTTCGTCTCACTCCAATCAGAATGGCAATTATCAAGAATACAAGCAATAGTAAGTGTTAATGAGTATGTGCAGAAAAAGGTACATTCTCATATTTGCTGGTGGGCATGCAAATTGGTACAACCACTCTGGAAAGCAGTATGGAGATGTCTCAGAAAACTTGGAATGGAACCACCATTTGACCCAGTTATCCCACTTATCAGCATATACCCAAAGGACTTAAAATCAGTATACTACATTGATGCAACCACATCAATGTTTATAAGGAACTCAGTTCACAACAGCTAAACTATGGAACCAAGTAGATTCACCCTTCAACAGATGAATGGATAAAGAAAATGTGATACATATACACGTAATGAAATATTGCTCAGCCATAAGGAAGAATGAAATTATGGCATTTGCAGGTAAATGGATGGAGCTGGAGAATATCATGCTAAGTGAAATAAGCCAATTCCCAAAAAAACAAAGGCTGAATGTTTTCTCTAATAAACAGATGCTGATCCAAAAAGGGTGGGGGAGAGAGGGAGACAAATTAACTTTGAATTGTGCAGAGGGGAGTGAGGAGAGGGGTAGGGCAGTGGGGATAGGAAGGATGACAGAACCAGACAGACATTTTTACCCTATATACATGTATGATTATACTACTGGTGTGACTCAGAACCATGTACAGCCAAAGGAATGAGAAGTTATGCTTCATCTGTGTACAATGTGTCAAAAATCATTCTACTGTTATGTATAACTAATTAGAATTTTAAAAATTTTTTAAACCTGTATTACAAAAGAATATTCAATTATTACATTTCAAATTATGTCAACTTGAAACTTTGGAAATGTTTTTCTTCTTGTTCTTTTAAGTACCTACCATAATCCTTAATTTTGCCTACTAGCCTACAAAGCTTATAATATTTACTCTCTGATCCTTTAAACAAAGCTTGCTTCACTCTTGCTATGGAGTATACATTGAAAATTGAAACAAATGAATATTAGCATAGAACTACTTTCAAATTCATTAGATCTTACTAAAGTAATTTGCAAAATTACTTGCCTATCAATCACTTGTATATGAAAGCACCATTTCCTCCCAAATCCCTAGGTGTTCTGATTCTATCTTAACAAACCTACTTGATCTCTCTTAAAGCATCTGTTGTACTTGATCCTTATGCATAACAAAGCCTTAAACTTATATATTATTTAAGAACTTAGAGTAAATTCACATAATTTTGTACATTTCAAATATGAGATGCCTTGAAAGTTCTTAGTTACTCAATGCCATACATAAAGCATGGATTTACAAGATAAATAAAATGAACTTGTAAGGTACAGGCAAGTTTTGTTTCTGATAAGAAGGATTTGGGAAGATGTTGGTTAAAAGGATATGAAACTTCAGTTAAATGAGAGGAAAGTTCATGAGCTCTGTTGTATAATATAATGATGATAGGTAGGTTAGAAATTCTGAACTTTGAAAAATTAATGAGAGATTGTGTTTTTACCACAAAAAAAGGTAATGCATGTGTTAGCCAGATTAAGCCTTTCCACAATGTGTACATTTTTCAAAGTATGTAGCATGTAGTATGTGATGAACCCATTCACTGTCAATGAAAATAAGAGTTTTATCTTTATATTTTCTACAAATTCATGCCAACTCTCCCAATTAATAAATTCATTAAATGAATGGAAGTAAAAAAAATTCATCACATAGCTAGTACAATAAAAACAAAGTATAGAAAATTAAAATTCAAGCATTTGTCTGTTTTTAATGGAATATTACAAAATAGGCCAAACATAGAACACACACAAATCCTCTATTATTATAACACTAAAACACTAAATATAAAATTTTGAAAACTTCCTCAAAGGTCACTGAAATTACAAGAAATATACACTGCTTTATACTTATTAACAAAATAGTATTTTGAGTCAATTTGAAATAGTCAAATAAACAACAGCTCTCTAGCAATTCCTGAAAGTATTAAAATGTACTAGGTCACATAAGTATAAAAAAATGAAACAAAAAAATTTGGGGAGGGATCAGGGATTGAACTCAGGGATACTCGACCACTGAGCCACATTCCTAGCCCTATTTTGTATTTTATTTAGAGATGGGATCTCACTGAGTTGCTTAGTGCCTCGAAGTTGCTGAGGCTGGCTTTGAAAGCTGGGATTCTCCTGTCTCAGCCTCCCAAGCCACTGGGACTACAGCTGAGCGGCACCACACCAGGCTAAAAAATGAAACAAAATATTTAAGACAAGCAGGACTTGAGGTTTTATTTCATAAAGTATTCAATATTCCAAATATCAATAAATGGTTTTCTTGCCTATGTTATACCAATTCCTATTCTGCTCAATAACTTACTTCTCCTAAAACATTAAACTTATCCATTATAGCTGTAGTTAAACTAACCACAATAGAAAAGACAACTGGAAGGTACATGTAGCAAAAGTCCCTTTCTTGAAACATAATTGCTCACAGACTAGACTATAACTTTTACATTACACTGGAAATTCAAGTGAGCTTTAACACATTAACAAATAGAAATGATGAACAACTATTCCATTAATTTTCATGTCAGTATGGATGGTGACCATATTGGTGATCAAAACCTTGGTGACCATTTTCCTAGAGGATAATGAAATACTTTGTTTATTAATGCAGAATGTCTGCAATATGGAAAGAAAATATTCAAAAACTGAACATAAGCAGAATATGTTAGAAAATATAGTGAAATGCCAAAAACTAAACCGGCTTAAAGAAAAAAGACATGTACTCTCAACATTATTCTAATATTCAGATTATATCAACATGGGAATGAATTTAAAAGCTCAAGGATAATATGCTCTAGATATCCAGATTCAAAACTATCTTCTGCTACTTTTTGAATGACATGAGACACTAGGACAGATCATCATAATAACAGCCCACAATGAATCACACATCCCTATGTTCAAATCCCTTTGCAATGTTATGTGATGATCCTCCATCAAAGGAGACCTGCCTCTTGAAAATGGATTTTTTTCAAGGTCATCTAAAACACATGTCCATCTGCTATATGTGGTTAGAAAATAGTTGTATTTTAACATCTTATTTAATCTACAGGTGATGTAAAACTATCATTTTTAAATTGATTCCTTTTTATTTGACTAATATAAAATATATAAGAATTTTAAAACACTATAAACCATTGGCCAGAGATTTTTTTCATGAAGTTCTTCAATCTTTTGGTATTTTTCATGGAATTTATAGTGTTTTTATCGTACTTATACTTGAATTGGACATTGTAGGGTTTCCTTTTATTGATAAAAAAAATTTGATTAGGCAGATGATAAGTCTACTTAGGAATATATATCTGTATTTACTTCTAAAAATATTTATCATTCAACATTTGAATTTATTATTTTTCAGTGTACATATTTGTACTGCAATACATTACTTATTTAAAAGAAAAAAACTGAGCTGGGCTGGTCACAGCTTCCAAAAATCACTTTACTTAACTACATTTGTAATAATAAAAAAAATTTGCCTCTTTGCATCAAGAATTAACATCATTTCAACTAAAAAAAAGTGGCCAAAAACCTAGCATGTGAAACTATATTTATGAAACCTTATGCCGAACATAAATAAATGTTCCCTTCAAAGAAATCTTAAGTCTTTTAAAGCACCCATATTAAACTGCATATAAAAATAATTATCAATATATAAAATCGTCAAAAATTATAGTAAGCAAGCATCAGACAACTAATTCCAAATAGCTTAAAAATTCTTTTTATTTTACTGAATTATTTTGTAACAATGAATAAATCTATCTTAGATTTTATTTTCATTTTACTTTATGCACTACTAGTTCTATAAAATTATAACTCCAGGAAAAAAAGAAACTTATTTGACATTCCCCAAGTGAAACACATAATAATAAACAAGAAAATTCATTTTTCATACCTTAAGATAGCAGTGAACATAGCAATAATGAAGCAGATTATCAGAAGGCTGAGTAAGGCTGCTGACCACATGCACCAAATGCTCAGCATACATTGGGACAGAATGTTCCAGATTGATTTTATCCACCAGTATCTGAATGGATGGCAAAGGACGAAGAGACTGGAAGTTTGCAGTATTCATGAAATTACTTGAGTTCTGGAAAATAAGAGTATTCACTTTATATTTTAGGAGTAGAGCAGTCAACTGATATACAATTCCTTCTATACAAGCTTCAGACTTGCACATTTTGCAGTTATAGTATGTCAATCTAGAAATGATGCCTTTGTATAGAATTCTCTTGCTATTACTAAATATGAATATCTACTTTAAGTATGCCCCATATTTTAAAGAATGCATATTTTTTCTAAAGGTTCATTACATTTTAGCTAAAGCTTTTTATTTTTTCAATCAACTTCACAGTATGTACTACATGCTTCAGAATGATGAAAACACTTTCTTAAATTAAGCTTAATCATTCTAAAAATTTGTCTAAATATCCAAGAACTAGCAATCTTTTGTTTTCTTTCCCTTTTAGATGACTACAGAAAATAAAGGACTATATCATACAGTGTAAAAGACATTCACAATAAGAAAGTATGCAGAAAGGAAAAAATATCTGATCCCAATCATACTAACAATATTTATATTAACAGCACATAAAGTCATAGGAATCTTGAGGAAGGCCTGGTGGTCTCAGTGTTACAGAACCATCTAAAGCATCTAAATAAATATGTGTAAGTTTCAAGATATCCAGAAAATGTGCCCTAATTAGTAAGTAATCTCTTCCTATAGTAAAACTAACTTCCTTAAAATATCTTCCACATGGTGCTCAATGAGGAATGCCATGACCTTCTACCCAAGAGAATCTGAAAATATATGACAATAGTATTTTCCTTTTTTGTTTTGTCTGGCTTTCACTGTCATAGTAACATTTCCATTTAACAGGCTGCGGCTGAAGATGCTAAACGCTACATGACAATACATGACACCAATCCAAAAACAAATAAGTCATTATTGAGAATATGCCTAAAATTGAATAAACTGAACATACAATCCAGATTGTTTATTAATTTTTGATAATTGTAAAACCAACACTTATTTAGTAATTGCTTTATTTTAGTATTTTTGATTACTGAAAAAAAAGAGTAAAGCATAGAAATCTGGACCATTGAACTCAATAAATTCTTACACCTATAATTACCATCCATTTGAAGCACCTTGAAACGTTTCCAATGTCTGTTTTGTAGCAATACTGAATACACTCCTGAGGGAGCCAATATTCTCACTTTAAACACCATAGTTTAGTTCCTTCTTGAACTTAAGAAAATTAGAATCACAGTGTACATCTCTCACTCAACATAACATCTGTGGGAATGCACTATGCTAATCGTCCTTTGAACTGACACTTTAATCAACACGAAGTGACTCTATTTCTGATAATATTTCTTACTTCAAAAATTACCTTTTTGGTATTAAAATAGGCTATTTTCTTTTGATTGGTATTGAAAAGGTACATATTTCTACCCCTTTTCTTCTTACCTATGCCCCCCTTATACATTCCAATTCCAAATTTTTAATTTCATTTGTTTTATGGATTGTCTTATGAAAACTTTTACATTTTTCTCTTTTCCTTTCAAGTTACTGAAGTTACTTAAAGATCAATATATAATAACCTCCATTGTTTTTCTATATGTACTACTGGGGATTGAACCTAGATTAAGACAAGTACTCTACCACTGAGCTAATCCCCAGTCTTCTGATATCCTAATCACTTCTAACACTATTTCTGTAATTATTTATTTTGACACCAGTGTTATATGAAAATAACAAAAAAAAAAAAGTTTGGGATATACTTTGTGCAAAGTAAGTGCTCTACAGCTGAGCTACAATTTCAGGCACTTAACAAATTCAAAAGAAGAGATATCATAAAATATCTGCTTTCAAAATTCAATAGAATTAAACAATAACAAAAACATAACTGGAAAATCTTAAAGTACTTGGAGATTAAGTAACACATGGGTCAAAAAATCACAAGAAAAATTTTTGAAAAAACAACTTGAATTAAATGAAAATGAAAACAATTTATCAATATTTATGGGATATAGTAAAAGCATTCCTTAGAAGGAAATCTATAGCATTGAATGCATATATTAGAAAAGAAGAAAATATAAAATCAGTCACCTACACTTTCATTTTAGGAAACTAGAACCAAAAGAAGAAATTAAATCCAAAGCAAGCATAAAAAATAAAAGAACAGAAACCAATGAAATTGAAAAGAGAAAATTAATGAAATCAAAAGCTGGTTTCTTTTCTAAAAAGATCAATAAAAATTGACAAGCCTTTAGGCAGACTAAGAAAAAAACAAAGAGGACATCATTTATTAATATCAGAAGCTTGTGCCTGTAATTCCAGCAACTTGAGAAGCAAAAACAGGACAATCACAGTTTGAGGAAGCCTCAGCAACTTAGCAAGACCCTGTCTCAAAATGAAAAAAGGATTGGGGATATAGCTGAGTAGTAAAGCACCCCAGGTTCAATCCCTTGTACCAAAATAAACAAATGAGTTCTTAATGCCAGAATTGAAATCGATACGTCATTAAAAACCATGAACATTTAAAAGGTTAACAAAGAAATACTATACACAACTCTATGCCTACCAATTTAAAATCTACATAAAATGTGCCAATTCCTTAAAAGACACAAACTGATTACCTTGGGTATAGTGATAACTTCTAGATATGACACTAAAAACATATTCTATAAAATGGAAAATTAGTAAACTGAACCTAACTAAAATTAAAATTTTCTGACCTGTGAAGATATTCAGGAGAATAAGATAAGCCACAGACTTGGGGTAAATATTTGCAAATGACATGTTTGTAAAGGACTCTTACCAAAATATACAGGAAACTCTTACATGTTAATATTAAGAAAACACACCCTATTAAATATGCAACAGATTTAAAGAGACACCTCACCAAAGAAGGTATACAAAAAAAATATGAAAAAAATGTTCCATATCATATGTCATCAGGGAAATGCAAATTATAACAACATTATAATTCTGCACCTATTAGAATGATAAAATACCAGGAAATTTACAACACCAAATTTTGACAGGGAAATAGAGAAATGGGAATGCTCATTCACTGCTAATGAAAATGTAAAATCATACCATCACATCAAGAGACAGTTCAGCAGTTCCTTTAAAAACTGAACACACTCCTACTATACAATCCAGAAACTGCCACTTTGAGTTAAAATTTTTTGAGTACACAAAAACTTGCACAGACATGCTTAATAACAGCTGTATTAATAACTGTCAAAACTTGGAAGCAATTAGGGTATCTTTCAGTAGATAAGTGGACAAATAAACTGTGATAAATCTAAACAATGGAATATTACTTCCACCAAAAAGAAATGAGCTTTAACACTTGCCTAGCAGGTGTGAGGTACTGGGTTTGATTCTCAGCACCACATATAAATAAATAAATAAAATAAAGATTCATCAAAAACTAAAAAAAAAAAAAAGGTTTTTAAAAATAGAAATGAGCTTTAAAATCATGAAAAGACATAGAAGATATCTAATTGCGCAGAGTGAAAAAAGAGAATCTGAAAGTCCACATATTTTAAGACTCTACTATAAGGCATTCTAACTGGTATTCTAACTATACAGCATTCTGGAAAAAAAAAAAAAAAAACAAGGAAAAAGATCAGTGATTATCAGTGATGAGGGTGAGTGAAGGATGAACAGGAGTAGATTTTTAGGTTCGTGAAACTACTCAATGTGATACCATTAGGGGAGACAAATGCATTATGTAGTTGTCAAAACCCATAGAACATAAACAACAAAAGTAAACCCTAATGTCAACTTGGGACTTTGGGTGATAATTATGTTCTGAGAGAAGTTCAACAATTATAATAAATTTACCACTCCTGTGGAGAACTTTGATCATGAGGGAGGCCATCCAAATGTATGGGCAGAAAGTATATGGGAAATGTCTGTACCTTCCACTAAATTTTGATGTGATCCTAAACTACTCTAAAAAATGAAGTCTAGGGCTGGGGGTGTGGCTCAAGCAATAACGCGCTAGCCTGGCATGCACGGGGTGCTGGGTTCGATCCTCAGCACCACAGAAAATATGTTGTGTCCACCAAAAACTGACAAATATTTTTTAAAAGATTCATATTCATATTCTCTCTCTCTCTCTCTCTTTCTCTCTCTTTCTCTCTCTTTAAAAAAAAAAACTGAAGTCTACAGCTGGAGCCGGAGCTCAGTGGTGGCAGAACACTTGCCTAGCATGAATGAGGCACTGGGTTTGATCCTCAGCACCACATGAAAATAAAACAAATAAAGGCATTCTGTCCATCTACAACTACAAAAAAAATATTTTAAATAAAGTCTATCTTTCAAAAGTTGGAAGATAAAAAAAATTGAAATAATAGGAAATAGTGACATTTTAATTTTCTCCATTGAAATTCTCTCCAAATGCAATACTCATTTAGCAGAATATATAGATAGAGCAAATACACGAAATGAAACTATTGCCTCATAGTCACTTCTGCCATAAGTTACTCTTTCCTTTTTTTTAACCAGGGAATGAACCAAGGGATGCTTAACCACAGAATCACATCCTCAGCCCCCCACACACACCCTTTATTTGAGACATGATCTCACTAAGTTGCTTAGGGCCTTGCTAAATTGCTAAGTTTCACTGGAATTTGCAATCCTCCTGCCTCAGCCTCCTGAGTCACTGGGATCACCAAAGTGCCTGCCCCATTGCAGCCGGGTATAAAATCACTTTCTAAGAATTATCAATCACAGTTACATTGCTTTTACTCCATCATAGATAAAGATATAAGCAGATATTATTTTATTTAATAATCACACATATACATACACAAGGGCAAAAAAGTAAACTCCTATTATACCTTTCCTCCTATAATGAGAGGAAGCAAACAATCCAGCAAGTTGAACTCAGCCATGAAAATTGTACAGGTACATTTGAGGAGAGTTACACTTGTATGTCGAGTAGGAATATATTCCTCCAAAGAAGCCACTTCTTCAGGATTCAGTATTGTTTCATTTTCATCCTTAATTTCTAAAATGAAAAATGGAATTTTATTGAAGAATATTTTTAAATAACTAATTTTCTTAAACAATTGAAAGTTTGCACGTGTGAGGAACCGGGTTCAATCCTCAGCACCAAATAAAAATAAAGATATTGTGTCCAGCTACAATTAAAAATATTTTTTAAAAAAAAAGAATGAATGAATTCATAGATAAAAGGGCAAAACAAGGCTTGATAAGCAAAAAGTCATATATAAAAATAGATAAAGTTTACAACAAAAGCTAGAGAACATAATTTGGCATCAGAGGACTGCAAATAAAGTCACAATGTGAGAGAACTACACATCCATCCAGAGAGGCTAAAATGAAAAAGAGAGAATACTAAGTGTTGCCAAGCCTGTAAAGCAAAAGTCAGCAAACTTTTTTTGTGAGGAGTCATACAGAACGTATTTTAGTTCTGAGCCATATGTTTGTCACATTTACTCAAATCTGTCATTATAGCACAAAAGCAGCTGTGGACAATACAAGAACCAAAGGAACATGGCTATACTCCAATAAAATTTTATTTAAGGATACCCAAAATTAAGTTTAATATAATTTTCAAGTAAATCAGAATTAAATTTATTTTTAACCATTTAAAGTATAAAAAAAAATTCTGCTCATACCTATATGAAAACTGGCAACAAGTCATAATTTGACAAGTGACAGTGAAAGTCCCACATTGAGCTGGTAAGAGTGTAAAGTGGTTCAACCACTTAAGAACACAGTTTGGAAATCTGTACTAAAAGTGATATATGCAATCATTTGACCTAGTGATTTCACTTTTAGTAGCTCAATAGCAATGTATACATATATTTACCAAATAACATGTACTACAATGATTGTAGCTTCACTATAAAAATAGCCAGAACTAAAAACTAACCAAATACTCATCAACATTTGCTGAGAGCCATTACCAATTAGGAATGACGCATCGTAATCCTTGCCAGTGTACCCCATGTTAAATGGACTTGCCTTGGAAATTTGCTGTCACCTTGCTTGTGTGTTTGAGAAAGGTGACCCTGCTCAATGACCAGGGTGGATCCAGGATTAGGGTGTATCATGCAGGAAGTATCCCTGTCCTTGGGTTTAGGGCATGACAATAGGAGTTTTAGGGAAGTTGGAGGTTGAAGATTATTCCTGCTGGGAATAGGGCGTGCCTGCTGCCTGAGTTCCAGAACCTGTGTGGAGGCTGTGTGAGATCCGGAATAAAGAATTGCTGTTTGAACCTACAAAGCTGTGTGGTGGCTCGTGATTCTGTGCCAAGCCGAGACATTGGCATTTGGCATTAATGTGAATAAATAAATTATAATACCCAACAGAAACTTACACAACAAATCTCATAAACATAATGTGGGTTAGCCCAGAGACAAAAGAGCACATATTGTGTAATTCCATTTATGAATTCAAAATAAACATAACTAAATTTATGATATAAGTAAATAAGAATAGTGGTTATTCTTTAAAACAGAATATTTGGTAACAAGAAGAAGATTTTTGAACAGATGCTAAGCTTTTATTTCCTGACCAATTTTCTGACCAATTACTTAAATAGATGTGATTAGTATAAAAATTTCACAGTGCTCTATCCTTAAATTTTATATACTTTCCAATAAGTATATATACTTCAGTAAAAAGCTAAGAAAAAAAAGGAATTCAGCAGAAGTGCTAATAACTTAAATTTTAATATGTATGCACTCAAAAACATATGTATACAAATGTACAGTAAGCTCTCACTTTGCTTAGTTGCTGTGAAAGAATCTGTTATATTTGATTCTGTGAAAGAATCTATGATGACATATCACACTTATGGTTCAAATATCAATTGCCAATTTATATTAACTGAGCAATTACATAGGTAAATAATAGATGAGCATCATGATCAAAAAACAATCACATCATTTCTCTCAATTGTGTCAGGCTTAGACAGTGGTTACAGTACATCTGCTACTGAACTCAGGCTAAGATGGCAAAGCAAGTAGTTGGTTGCCTCATGTGCCACTGATAAACCTATATGACATTTTACAAAAATGAATAATCCAAACAGAGAAAGATAAAAGTGCAGAGAACAAAAATTGGTAACACTGGAAGTAAAATTCTAATTGAACATAAATGGAGAAATGGAAGAAAGAGGTAACTTTGAAGTATCAACACTGCACCTTTTCTAAAGACTCAAGAGAACTTAGTGAAAACAAACTTATGACATAACAAGGTGATAAAAAGACTGAGGATGTCCCAGAAAAAGTGACACAAGGAATATCACTCATTCTCATTAAAGGAAGACATAAACTCTCACAGGTTTTAAAGAACTAAAAGTATATAGGACAAAATGACAGAATCTTATCCAAACTTAGAAAGGAGTTATGACAATTTATCAAGGCTTATGAAATATATTTCATATTGTAAGTTATACCAGAAGACAAACACTAGTCAACACAACTCATTAAATTTTTCCCACAAACTTTAAAGTTTATTTTTATAATTCTTTACTATTCCTTTTAAATTTTTCACTTTTCTGTACATTTATAACCAATAATAAGAGTTTTAAATGTTTTAACAACATGTTTTGATTAAAATTAAATACTGTAATGGTAAGCCAACACTGATCTAACTACTCTATATCACTAGTTCTAAGATAAAAATAAAAGAGTTATTAGTAGAGGCTGGGAAGTGTGGAGGAGAGGGTGGATAAAGCAAAGTTAGACAGCAGGTACAAAAACACAGATACAAGGAATAAGTTCTGATGTTCCACACACAGAGGGATGGCTATAATTTACAATAACCTATTATGTATTTAATGATGATCTAGAAGAAATGAGTTTGAAGTCTTTATACATAAAGAAATGATAAGGAGAGGGAAATACTAAAATAACCCTAATTGTATAAGTACATGCTGTATACATGTGTTAAAATATCATAAGCCAGGGGCTAGGGCTGTAGCTCAATGGTAAAGCCCTTGCCTAGCATGTGAAAGGCACTGGGTTCAATCCTCAGCACCACATAAAATAAATAAAATAAAGTTATTATGTCTATCTACAACTAAAAAAGATTCGGGGGAAATTATATATATATATATATATATATA